ATAATATAGCGTTTACAACCTAAAGATATTAGATGATAAATAACAACATACTAATCTAAAGGGAAAATTGCACCAAAATGGAACCAACTTTCACATGATTCCTATTTTGGGGAACGAACTTTCAAAATCGTCATTTTGGGGAACCAACTTTCACCTGATTCCTATTTTGGGGAACCAACTTTCAAAATCGTCATTTTGGGGAACCAACTTTCACCTGATTCCTATTTTGGGGAACCAACTTTTAAAATCGTCATTTAGGGGTCTCTATCGAACTTTTTGTTTATTTAAGGGTCTGATTGATCTGTTGAACAGGTAACAGATAATTTAAGGGTCTCTATCAAACTTTTGGTTGGATTTGCCAAATTTGATTTAAACTTTAATATTGACACATATTGGTTAGATATAAAAATCTTGAATGTAATATTTAATATTTATTTTTTATTGCGCCAATTAATTTTTTTCTATTAAATTGATTTTTTTATTGCATTAGTAAAAACAATTTTTATCGTGGTAATTTGGATTTTTTTCAAAAAATCTTCAATTTGATATCTAAATTTAAAAAAACGAGATTTGAAATGAAAAATAGATTTTATTGCATTAATTTTTGAAAAGAAATGAATTTTAGTTATTTTTCTATAACTATTTTGCAAGTTGGTTTCCCAAAATAGGAATCAGATGCAAGTTGGTTCCCCAAAATGACGATTTTGAAAGTTGGTTCCCCAAATTAGGAATCAGGCCCCAGTTGGTTCCCTAAAATGACGATTTTAAAAGTTGGTTCCCCAAAATAGGAATCAGGTGAAAGTTGGTTCCCAAAATAAAAATCAAGTGAGAGTTGGTTCCCCAAAATGACGATTTTGAAAGTTGGTTCCCCAAAATAGAAATCAGGTGAAAGTTGGTTCCATTTTGGTGCAATTTTCCCTAATCTAAACTACACTAAGCTTAAATTAAGGACGAGCGTCACTATCGTCTTCAAAAAAAATATTGTCAAAGAGTAACGCCGACTTGGCTAAAAGCCAATGACCCCAAAAGTGTCTTTACTGGCATCCAATCACTCTGCTCAAGACTTCGGAGCCCTGTCGCTAAGAGAACATGAAATACTTGTAATTTAAGGAAAAAAAAAATGTGAGGCTTAACTCCTAGTGATAACAAACATTTATAAATAACGTAAATAACCCAGAACAGTTAAGATTTAGAAGATTGATTTAAAACCCAAGTTCATACATTCTCATTAGACACCATAGAGTCCAAAATACATCTTACAATGATGGGGGAGACCCGAATTCATTGGGTAGCAGTGGAACACAAAAGTAGACCACAATCCATGTTATAGAATTCATACTAGCCAATGAGTTCAACCAACCTACGATTTATAGTTCAAGGCCCCCAATGATCTCAATTATACTCATTCATATAAATTTACATAGCCGCAAAAGTCCAAACCAAGTTGCCCCATATAACCCAATGCCTATTTCTAGTTACAAATGGAAATACTATATATATCCTACTTTAAATAAAACCGACTCTATACCTATGGATGCATTGCATTACAGTCTAATAAGTGCCACAGTTTCAAAGTAACCAACTATAATCATACATACAGTATTCATCATCTAAATGTTCTCATAAAACCATTTTATATCAAGATTTGCCAAATAGAGCATAGTTCTTATAGTTCCCAATACCATAATATTTTCATCATCTTTTCCAAGAATTCATACATCAAATACTCGTCTTGTTTTCAAGCAATAAAGATTCCTTTCTCAAGTACAACCATTTCCCATTAAATACCTCCAAATATGGAGTGGTCGAGAATAAACATATATCATGACGTTCAAGCAGGGACGGACTTAGAAACTTTTTCAAACGGTGGCACAATTTGGCTATAAGAAACAAATATAGGGAAACAATTTCAAATGGTGGCAACATTTGACTATAAGAAACAAATGTAGGGAAAAAATTTCAAACTATGACACCATTTGACTAAGAAAATGACACTAACAGGAATTGAACTTGGGTCTTGGGTGGAATAAGAGCCTTGCAAGCCAACTCTACCAAAGAAAACCTGTTCACGTTGTAGTTTCAAAATGCATACGGTGGCATACAACAAATTAATAGGGTTGCACCTTTCACGAACCTAATTTTTTTTACCCTTCGATGGAGAAATAATATGGTGGCACGTGTCATCGTTGGCACCATTGTAGGTCCGTCCATGCGTTAAAGTTCTAAAATATCATCAATATGTTTAAAACAAACTTTTATAGCATTTCACTGAAGTTCCACTCATTTTCTAGAAAAGGGGATAAAAACTTAAATCTCCCAAAAATACTCAAAATTAATCACAGTAAATAAACATGTAAAGAACATCAAAAGAAATTTTTAGGAGATTAAAACCAAATATTTTGACATGTACAAAATTTTAGAAGGTTAGGATGAACTCACAATGTTAGTAAATGAGGAGGAAAACCTTAGAACCCCGACTTTAATGTTATGCAACATCATGCGGCCCTAGGGTCGCGACTCGAAGGGTTTCCCGCTACCCTAACCAAACTTACGGTACAAGAAATGAGACCCTGGCCTTGCGGTGCAAGGGTCACAGGTCTCTAGGGTCGCAAGTCCCGTAAATCCCCCACTTACGGTACACAAGATGCGATCCTAGTCATGTGACGCAAGGGTCGCAACACTAGAGTCGTTGAACCCATGCAGAAGCCTGGAATGCTTCATCCAAAGCCCAATTCATGGTCTAATTCGCAGGGCTTAAACCCACAAAGTAGAAACTAGTCATTTGAACTTAAACAATGATTGCAATCTAGATTAAGACTTGATCAAAATCTAATTAAATACATTACAAAAACTCCGCATGTTACAATTTCATACTTTTTTCATTCATTTTCCGTGTTTCTGTTCCAACTTTTTGTTGTTTCCATTTGAGCCCTCCTCTTTGTAAGTAATTGTCATATCAACAAACTATTTCATGAATTATGTACATATGAGATCGATTGTAATATTTAACCGTATTAATAGTTCTATAAAATTATGTATGGTAGCTTCATAAAATTACTGATTATAGTTAAATGACTTCGTTGTCCTCTTTTTAAGACAACAAAATATACAAGGATTATGATATAAAAGTTATATTCATCATTGTCATCATGTCCATGGAAAATTCTATGATACATGACAATGCCATACATTCTTCTTTTTATAGTTCCAGATAATATCTACTCACAATAACAACAGTTCGAATAAAGACATATGTAATGGGAACGAAACTGGTGAAGGAGGAAACCCGCTTTCACATGATCTGGCCAAGTTACCGTAGGGACATGTCATGAAATTTTTGGACCATTATTTTGTTTTTTTATGTGTGTGTGGCCTATATGTATCGAACCTTTTGTGTTTTTCCTTTTCAGTGCAAGGATACTCATTCCAACATGTCGTTATCCCACACGTTCCGATACTTACCTAACGTATATGCTTTTTTTTCCTCCAACGTTCTTATCCTTCAGCAATATTCTTTTCTCATTAGCGTACATGTTTTTTCCCTTAGTGCATACCCATATGCAAAAGCTTATATGAAATAATTCAGATACCCAATATTATAATCGTCATCGATTGGTTGTTGATATCTCTGACGACACTGATATCCACGAAACGATCATCGACAGTCAAGATCCTAGTTACTTAATCTTGACTAACGCTAACACATTATCCTCCTCGACCGTTATCTTTCTCATTATTGCAGCTTTTGAAGATTTATGATCAAGATTTATTCCATTAATACACCTGACGTAATCGACGGCCAGTATTTAATTAATCCATCATGACATGACTGTTATCACTATAATGACAATTGAAGACAACCGTTACCAAAGCACCTATAAATGGACCGAAGAGCACTTGAAGTGCCACGGCAATAACAACATAGAGACACTTTTCTTAACACCAAAAGCGACTCTTTTACATGCATCCTCATAAACTTTAAAACACCAATAACACCTCATACATGTAATAAAGAACGATAACATGTACAAAAATTCCAACGCATTGCATACATAAAAATAGTGCTTTTCACCATGATCCAAAATAATATACGAGCATAAAGATAGGTTCATATGAGAATGATACCTATTAAAAAAAAAGAATGACCAAGTTATGTACAAAATCATATGTGATTTTACATTAAACAGCCAAAAAAGTGTACCGCCGACTTTATAGTCACTGGCAAGGTCGCATGAAAAAAGTCACGTGAATCACATGTTATTTTGTACGTGATTTTAGTGTAAAATCATATGTGATTCAACCATTCTTATATTTTTTTAAATATGTATCATTCTTGTATGAACTCGACTCTATATATGTATGCATCCCATGATAAATCACGTGAAAACTCACTTGATACTGTAGGCTGACTTAAAACTGATATGGGATTAAGTACACTACCTCTGAGAGAACCTACATATCATATAAGAACTACAAGGTCAATTACTAAGCATTGCTTTCACACCTACACTCCTAACTACGCACCAAAACATGTTTCGGGTCGATTAAACGAAAACAATTTTTTTTCCAAAACTAGACACGCATCCAACGATTTCTCATATCTCCAGGAAGTCAAACTATGTAAATCATAGTGTTGATTCTTATTGGTAAATGCTAGTTGGGGTACGGAATTGGATAAACAACCCCTCACCCTTTCAATCAATAAGTTCCAACTAATTAATAACACAATAATCCTTAATGACAATTAATTTAACCTTAAAATTTATTTTGGGACCCACGAAGGAGAAAATTAGGTCCTATTTTAAGCTATTACATCAACCTAAATTTAAGGATTTATCAATAGGTAACGTGAATTGTGTCGATTCGGGTTATTGTGGTTAGGTCACATTTAAAACCCCATATTAAAATTTTCATTTAAAAAATTATTAATCATATATTTAAAAACAATTTAAAAAATAAATATATTCAGTGTACCAAGACATAGACGCTTTAATTATTTAATGGATTTTGTAGCAAGATATCATGCATGATATGGATGTACATTCATTCATGCATATCGTATTACCTACAGCTGAAAATACCCAATATTTGATGACCAAACAAGTGGCCCAGAGGTGCAAAGACTCCACTATAAAACCATGGTGATAGGCATGGTTAACATGCACACTAACTCAAACCCCAAATATGGCTTCTCTTCCTTCTCCGGTCGCCGCCGCCGCTGCCGGCATCACCACCCCTTACTCTTCTTCTTTCGCCACCGTCTCCTCTTGGCCATTGCTCTCAAAGAAATGTTCAATCAAGTCAGCAAAGCAAACCCATCGTTATGGAGTCAGATGCAATGCTGCAGATTCTGATGATCAAAAGCCTATCATTGAATCCCTTAACAGCCTTGATCGTCGGAATGTTCTTCTTGGTCTTGGTGGGATTGCCGGTGCCGTCAACTTGACATCCATTCCGTCTGTCGGAGCTGCGCCGCTGGTCGCACCGGATATTTCGAAATGTGGGACGAATCCTCTTTCTGGTTTTAAAGCCGGAGCTGACACTCCTGAAGGAAGCGACTGTTGTCCGCCGGACTCGAGCCAGATCATGGACTTCCAGTTCCCGAAGGAGGAGGTCTTTCGGGTCAGACCAGCTGCCCATTTGCTAAGCCCGTCGTACATTGCTAAGTTCAACTTAGCCATTAAGCGCATGAAAGAACTTCCGGCCGATGATCCTCGCAACTTTTTGCAGCAAGCACATATTCACTGTGCTTACTGTAACGGTGCTTACACTCAATCGTCGAGTGGCTTCCCGGATGTTGAAATTCAGATCCATAACTCGTGGCTGTTCTTCCCATTCCACCGTTGGTATCTGTACTTTTACGAGAGAATCTTGGGTAGTTTGATCGATGATCCGACTTTCGGGTTGCCGTTCTGGAACTGGGACACCCCTGCCGGAATGAAGATTCCTAGTTACTTCAACGAATCGAGTTCCGCCCTCTTTGATTCCAAAAGGAACCAAGATAACCTCACGGCAGTCGTCGATCTGGGATACAACGGCCAACCATCCACATTGAGCGACTTAGACAAGGTGACTAACAATCTTGCTATCATGTATAAACAAGTTGTGACCAATGCCACCGACCCATTATTGTTCTTCGGAGGTGAGTATCGCGCCGGTACTGAACCCATCCGTGGTGGTGGATCTGTTGAACAAAGCCCTCACACACCGGTGCACCGATGGGTGGGTGACCCAAGAGAGTTAAACGGAGAAGACTTGGGTAACTTCTACTCAGCTGGTCGTGACACGTTGTTCTACTGTCACCATTCGAACGTCGACAGAATGTGGTCTTTATGGAAGACGTTGGGAGGAAAACACAAAGATCTCACCGATTCCGATTGGCTCAACACCTCATTTGTGTTCTACGATGAAAACAAAAACCTAGTTCGGGTCTACGTTAAAGACTGCTTGCTGACAAGCCGACTTGGATACGACTACCAGAGAGTCGACGTGCCATGGCTGAATAGCAGGCCGGTGCCTCGTTCCCGAAAATCTGGCATAGCAAGGAGGTCAATGGGAAGAGTTAAAAGGACAACCGACATCAATTTCCCGGTGAAACTCAACAAGACTGTAAGGGTTTTGGTCCCAAGGCCAAAGACGTCGAGGTCGCAGACGGAGAAGGAAAACGAACAAGAGGTTCTGGTGGTGCAAGGCATCGAGTACGATAGCCAGCAGTATGTGAAGTTCGACGTGTATGTGAACGACGAGGATGACGACAACACCAGCCCAGCCCAGACTGAATACGCCGGAAGTTTTGCTCAGCTGCCACACACACACAAGGGTAAGACGAAGAGCAAGACCAACTTCAGAGCCGGACTGACGGAGCTGTTGGAGGATCTGGAGGCCGACGACGATGACACTATACTGGTGACCTTGATTCCAAGGTCTGGGTGCGGGGATATCACCATTGATGGCATCAATATTGTCTACGTTTGATCATGAGCAGAGGATTTGGATGAACGCCATCGTCATGCTAATTACTTTCTTGTCAAGCAATGTTGAGTTTGCATGGTTTGATCCTTAGTTAGTTACGTTAATTAAGGATTATGTGTGTTGTTGGGAACCAAAATAAACATCGGGTCGGGTTTCCTGTAATAAATTTAGTGTTCAATAAAATGTAACCTTCCAATCATTAATTATTTCCTATATTTAATTTCTCTTATAATTAAACTAGAATATATATTTATATATATATATATATATATATATGTATAT